GGGTTGTTACAATTAGGGGTGCTACTCTAATAATGGGTAGAGGTGAGGGGTGCTGCTAAACATCCTACAGTGTACAGGACAGCCCCCCACAACAAAGAATTATCCAGCTCAAAGGTCACTAGTGGTTGAGAAATTCGGCCTTTTAGCGGGGATGGGGCTGGGGACTGGGGTAGGAAGGTGGTCAGCAGGGAGGGCGATGTACACAGTAAGGAACACGTGAGGCCGCCCCAAGGAAAAGGACTCCCGGGATCGGGCAGGATGAAAGCAAACTTCCCTGTCTCCCTAGAATCACCTTGTGTCTAGCAAAGGATGGGCACTGTGCCCTCCAAGGCTCATGTTGTAATACTGCTCCTTTCGTAGAGAGATGCCCCAGAATCAGAGAGCAATGTGAATTCAAGGAAAGGGACGTGTGTAAGAAGGACAGACAATGCCAGGACAAGAAGAAGTGCTGCGTCTTCAGCTGTGGAAAAAAATGTTTAGACCTCAAACAAGGTAATCGTCAGAGCCTCATGATAACCAACCAACACCCCTACCCACGTCCTCACCTACTGCCTGCGTGGATTGGCACTGTCCCCTGGTTCACTGAGGGGTGATGTCTGGACAAGATTGCTGGATTTGAGAGATCTGGGATGTAGGTTCGTCACTGCCTCCAATATGGTGTGTGACATTAGTAATGTTCTTGTCCCACCAGAGAATGTCTGAGACTCACTTTCTCCCAACAAAGATAGGTGAGGGAGTGGAATTGAATCAGATGGTTTTCTGGCTATGTGACTACTTTTTGCTATCACGATTTTCTGAGTTCCCAGGTGGCCATTGTTGTCCTAACATATACCAACATCATTGATGCCAATGATAAGTTAAGCAATTTATATTTCCTAGCTTTTTGCTCTAGGGTGACCACCTCTCTGCCTATACAACTTTGTACCAGGAATCCTCTCCTACCCCCTCCAGACCAGAGGGTTTTTCCTTGCTGCTGCAATCTTCACTCCATGCCCATCTCCCTGGGCTCTAAAAGGCTATCAAAGATTATTTATTTATTGGTTTAACAAATATTTATTGAGTGCCTCTGAGACCCATACTAGGATTTGGCCTGCTCAGCGTGGCCAGGAAGGTTGGGAAAGCCTTCTCCGAGAGAGCAAGCCTGGAGTTGAGTTTAGAAAGATGGGTAGTGTTTTAGGCACAAAGTGAGTGGAAGGGCTTTCTAGGCACAGGGCACAGCATGCACAAAGGCTCAGAGGTGCGGCCCAGGGAGACCAGAATGCAGAGTGCGCATGAGCGTGGTACAAGGAAGAAAGATCCTGGGTAGGTGCGGATTAAACAATCCAGGTCTGATGGGCCAGGTGAGCGAGTCTCGCCTTGATCCTAAGGGCCACAGAAATCCCTTGAGGAGGGCTGGGGATGTGATCAGGTTGTACTACGCCGTCAGAGAGGGAAAGAGGAGGAATGGAGTATCTTGAAGGACGTCAAGGTGAAAGAAAAAGGTAGCCTGGACTAGAGAGGTAGCAGAGGGGATGAGGAAGAGTAGGGTGTCAGAGAGGTATTTAGGAGGTGAAGGGGACTGGGTTTGACGGGGAGTGCAGTGAGCAGGCAGGGGCTACGCCGTTCACACACCTGCAGGCGAGGATCCTGAACCCAGACTTCCTGGTGCACATCTTGGTCCAGTTTTTGCCTTTTAACCTTGGGCAAATTAACAACTTCCGCTCGCTGTGCCTCAATTTCATCAGATAATGAAAGGACCAGTGTTAAAGGTCATTTTGAGGATCAAATAAATTGATGCGTGTGGAGTGCTTAGAGCAACGCCGGGCACATAACGGCCACCTGATACATATTAGCTGAAATCATTCGTCATTCCCGACTGGGTGCTCCTAAGTAGCAAAGGCCATTGCCTTTTCTTTGTCCCTTAAAGCATTTAGCACTTAGTAGGTGTTCAATGAATGATTTATTCAGTTCAGATCAGGATATATTTTATTTTGCCCTCAACATTCCATAAAGTCCTATACTGTGCCAGGCTACCTGGTTAGGGATTTGGGATTCCAAGATGAAATCAGACACAGTCCCTGCTCACTAGAAACTCACAGCCTCAGGGATGAGACCGAAGATGTAAACAAATGACGAACATGCACACAAGATTCAGAAGCAAGGTATGGCAGTACGGGTTGCAGAGTGGAGTCAGGAGAGACGTCACAGGGGAGCTGATGTCTGAGAAAGGCTTTGAAGGAAGAATGGGAGTGTCACTAACGAGCGGCAACGGGCACACAGCAGAGCAAAGGCATGGAGGGCTGGCAGAGCACGGTGTGCTGAGTACTGCCGGAGCGTGCAGCTCACGGGGCACTGTGCCAGGGGAGGAGGCCAGAGCTACAGTTGGAGCCAGACAATGAAGGACCTTGTGAGTCACGGGAGGACTATGTCATGAAATCAAGAGAGGTCTTATCTGTGGAATGATAGGATCAGCTTAGCTTTCAGACCCACAAGAGCCTTCTCGCTGGTGGGCAGCATAAAGGATTGATTGGAGGGGCCAGGACTGGAGGCAGAAGAATGGATGCGAGGTTATCTCGACAGCCCCAAAGTGAGATGCTGAGGCTTCAATCGAAGAGACTGGCAGAGAGGTGAGGTGTTAGGAGGTAAAAATCAACAGGATTTAACTGTTTAGCTGTGAAGATTTGCCCTCATGGAACTACGCAGGCATTGTTTAGTCGGAGCCTGCATCGGTTTGCTAGCGGTGCTGTAACAAAGTACCACAGGCTGGGGACCACAGAAACGGATTGTCTCAAAGTGCTACAGGCTACAAGTCTGAGGTCAAGGGATCAGCAAGACTGGTTCCTTCTCAGGGTTGTGAAGTGTCAGGATGGCGAGGGAGAATCCGTTCCATGCCTTCCTCCAGCTTCTGGCGCTTTGCTGGCAATCACTGGTGTTCCTTGGCTTGCAGACGCATCACCTCGATCTCTGCCTTCACATTCACACGGTGCTCTGTGTGTGTGTGACTCTGTCCAAATTTACTCTTTTTTTATAAGGACATCAGTCACATCAGATTAGGGTCCCACCCTACTTTGGGATGACCTCATCTTAACTAACTGCATCCGCAACGATCCTATCTCCAGGGACGCAGACACCCCCACCCTGGGGTCTCCCTGGCAATATGTGCAATATGTCAATGGAGCTTGGGTCCCGCGCTGTGACAGGGAAAAAGAGTTTATTCTAGTTTCATCTATGGTGGTTGCCAGGGTGAACAATTTTGTTCCAGGATGGGTACTCTGAGTTCTCGACTCCAGGGTGTCTTTGCAGATATATGCACTATGCCAAAAGAAACTGGCCCGTGCCTGGCTTTCTTTCGTCGTTGGTGGTACAATAAGCAGAATAATACCTGCTCCGTTTTCATCTACGGTGGCTGCCAGGGAAACAATAACAACTTCCAATCCAAAGCCATCTGCCTGAATGCCTGCCAAAAAAAACGTGAGTTCCGGGGCCCCAGTCTTGCCAGGGCCATGCTGGGAGGCCTGGGTGTTGGCTGGTCCATCCCGGGATAGCTACGTCCTTGGCAGACCTGGCGCTGACAGAACCGGCTCCAAGCAGGAGGTAAGAGGGCACCTTGAAAAGGGGTAGACAACGTGGCTTTCTGGGAACCGAGGATCAACAGGGACGTGGAGGTGAATCGAAGCTGGCAGGTACGAGGAGAGGTAGGAGGATGGAGGGAGGTGTGAACGTAGTGAAATCTCAGACACCTATTGCAGAGGGGTCACGGGACATCCAGCCTAGACACGTGAGCCAACCAACCCTTCCAGGCCATCGATTTCCTCAACACGGCTTTTGCCAGCAATCCCCTCCCATGCAGTTTTCCTTGAAGCAGATGAGTAGCTCCCCAAGCAAACCCACTTCCTTTTAATGTCCTCCTGTGAAAAGATGTATAAACATAACTGCAAGTTCCAAAGATAAGCTGAGCCCAAGACGCTCAGCTGGTCCTGTCCTACTTTCTCAACAGGCTCCTCTTCCTGAATGGATAAGGACACCCCGGGACAACGACCAGGATTTGGCTCATGCTCTGAGGACCTGTCCATGAACCTGACTGATGCTCCGGCTTGGCTTCCACAGTTCCACTCTCAGCATTCCGAGGCTGTACCTCTTCCCAGCCTGAACCACAGGGTCCGCCTCCCCTTCCTCCCTCTCCACCCCTTTTCATGAATAATCTCCTTCTGGCTTATCCCATATTTATACCTTACCCTTTATCTCTAACTTCTAGAGCTCCCTATTTATACTGTGTGGCTCTCAATTTTTCCCAATAAAGCACTTGGATTAGTCCTTTACTCTGAGGCTGAGTAATTCACACACGCTTGGCATGTTGAGGCTCCCGGCGACATCAATGAACAGAGTGAGGACAGTCAGAATCTTGAGAATCGAGAGCTCCAGGGATATTGTTATCCTCTTCTGTTTCTTCAAAAAATTGTAAAACTCTTTTAAGGCAAGGGCCCACGAACATTGCCTTAGTTTGGATCCCCCGGAAACTGACCCTGGACAAGGGCATGGGCACAGGTGGTCTGTTTGGGAGATCTCTCCCAAGAAGCACAAGGTGGAGAGTGGGGTAAGTGTCGCAGGGAAGAGAGATGGTCGATTGTGAGCTGGTTACCACTGTGGGAAACTGTGGCTCAATCCCACCGGGGACCCTCTAAGGAATCATGTAAAACAGATCTTCAAATTATCTTCATCTGTCTCCCGGGACGGGGAGGCTGAGGTACTTATCCACTGATTCCATTCCCCACCGGATGCCTAGGGTGCTAAATCCTTCGCTCTTCCAGACTGTTCCGCATGCAAGCTGAACAAGCTCCCAGGGAGCCGGAGAAAACCCACAGCAGAGAAGTGGGCACTCTGACACTGGGGGTGGGAGGCTGTCCCCATGCACGGGATATTATTCAGCCAGAAAAAAGGAATGAAGCGCTAATGCTACCCTGTGGATGAACCTCAAAACCACTATGCTAAGTGAAAGAAGCCAGGCATGAAATGCAGCACATCGCATAATTCCATTTATACAAAATATTCAGAATAGGTAAATCTATAGAGATAGAAAGTAGATTAGTGGTTGCCAGGGGGTGGAGTGGGTTAGGAGGAAATTGGAAGAGACTGCTAATGGGTAGGGAGTTTTCATTTGGAGTGATAAAAATGTTTTGGACCAGTAGAGGTGGTGGTTACAGAACATTGAGAATATACTAAAAAAAAACCCACTGAATTGTTTGCTTTAAAATGGCTAATTTTATGTGACATAAATTCTACCTCAATTTTTAAAAATGGATTAAGAAAAAATGTGTAGCGGGACTGTCTCTTGCAGCTGCAGGTGAAATTGGAGGTGAGCGGAGAGCACGTGGGGAGGGGCGGCAGTGGTCCCCACTGCATGTACACTCGAATTCTGCAGATTCACCCACTCCCACGTGGCGTCCACTGCCAGAGAGCTTGCCACTCTCTGGTGAGGCCAGTGGGACATTCTTCAGCCCCTGCTGCCACAGCTGGTTCTGCAATCATAACTGGCATTTAGTATTTCTCTCCTGCATCACTAATTCTAAATCGCACCCGGTGGTAGAAGCTTTCATCATCTTCTTTCAAATACCATGACCTGGACAGACACTTTCTGAAGGTTCAGTGCAGCCTGGAATCAACCTGTTTCTTCCCTCAAACCCCACTCAGGACAGTATCTTTACTCTGACAATGGCTCAAGAAAATGGGTGCACCAAGAGGAGAGACAGGGAAGGGAAGGGTGGGTCTCTCTGTGTGGGATCAGACACAGAAAGACCCACTGGAAAAGAGGAAAAGCATAGGGTACAAGGCAGAGAGAGGCATAAAAGGGAGAAAAAGAAACAGCATGAGAAAAATAGACACATCTGGAGGAGAGTAAAATTAGAAAGAAAGATGAGAACCAGGATACTCTTGACCTCCAAACTCCCCCTGGGAAATGGGAGACTCTGCAGTTAAACACCCCTTTCTGCTAAGGAAGCCTGGAGAGCCCCGGACAAGAGGCACCCTGTCTCCCCTGCAGACCAGAGAGCCAGAGGGGCTCAGACCGCCGAGGATTAGGAGCCACCTAGCGAGAGCCCCTTCCCGCAGGGTAGGTACCAGCTAATCCGACTGAAGGCCTCGGGGAGTTGGTGTTCCCAGCGGAGCCAGTGTGGCTGGCTCATGTCCAGTGCCGATTCCCGAAATGTTAGGCTGCACTGGAGCATCCAAAGTTCAGAGGCAGTATTAAAAAAAAAGAAAGAAAGGAAAGGAAAGGAAAAAGGAAAGGAAAGGAAAAAGGAAAGGAAAGGAAAAAGGAAAGGAAAGGAAAGGAAAGGAAAGGAAAAAGGAAAGGAAAGGAAAGGAAAGGAAAGGAAAGGAAAGGAAAGGAAAGGAAAGGAAAGGAAAAAGGAAAGGAAAAGAAAGAAAAGGAAAAGAAAAGTTCAAAGGCAGGAGCTCCTGAGCAGCAGTTCCTAGTTTTGGTGCAACCGGCTGGGCCAGTACCTTCTAAAATGGGACTCTCAGGACTGAGCTGGTTGAAGGGCTCTTCGTCACTAAGTGCTGGGGACTTGGTCCTTGCAGTGAAGAAAGGGAACTCAATGGGGAGGAAGGAAAAAGGAACAATTTCACACATGAGGGGTGTTTTCCTCTATCTCAGCCTGGAATTCCAGGTGGGAGGGGGCAGTTATTTGGAGCCATTTTTTCAGCTCCCTTCCTCTTTGGTGAATGCGGGAACCTAAGTCTGTGGCAACTGACTCCTCACTGCCATTGCAAGGAGTTCTTTGAGGAGGTGCCTGGACCTAGACCTCATGAAATGGGCTAAGGGACTGGGAAGCCCAAGGAACTTTCCCATGAGAAAAACAGGCCACTCCCCCAGGACCACCTCATCAGCTCCCACATCCTCCCATGGCAGCCCCCAAAGGTTTCCCCACAGCCACACCCATGCCCAGAAGATCCTTGCCTTTAGGGTGAAAAATGGTCCCCAGAAGTCCCTTGGAATGCTGAAATATGAAGGCCCATAATTAGCAGCTTTATATACTGAGCACTTTAAAAGTAGTGGTTGAAAGTGAGTGCTCAGGAGCCACACGTTGTAGGTTCAAATCCTGCCTCCACCCCTTAGTAGCTGTGTGATCTTGAGCAAGTTTACATAACCACCCTGTGTTTCAGATCCCTCTGTTTATAAAATGTGAATATTAACAGTACTTCCCCATAGAGTTGTATTGGGCATTAAGGAGAAAAGGCCAGGCACATAGTAAGTGCTTCCTCAATATTAATCATTATTATTTTGCCCCAGGCAGTTTGACAATGGCTTTTCAAACTTTGTTGCATTAGTCTTCAAAACAACCCTATAGGCAAATGAGGAATCAAGGTTCTTAGAGGGTACCTGCCATACGAAGGGTGGTGCAAAGTCCAAAAGCCCAGCCACCTGATGCCAGAAATGGAGCTCTCAATCATGGCCAGCTACCGTGCCTCCCGGGGAAACATCCAAGCACAGGCAGGCAGGGTGACCAGAATAGTCCTAGAGGAAAGCATCCTTCTCTCTGGAACCTTACAAGTGGTGAGGGAAGGGGTAGGGGTTGCTTCAGGGATTAGGTGAGTTGTTATGGGGTTGGGGATGTGGGTGGTGGTGTGAAATTCTTGAGTCCTCTGAGGGTCACTGCCTTCTGGGGACAGGGGAAATGAAAACAAATTTCCCTAACTCTGCAGTGGTGCCCTGGGCCTTGGAAAGGAGAGCACTGGCCCCTTTAAGGCCTCAAGGGAATATGTCTTTCCCTCCCTTAGGAACACGTCCCAAAGTTAGAGTAAAATGTGAAATCGAAGAAAGGAACCACTGTATGAAGCACAGACGTTGCCCGGAAAAGATGAAGTGTTGCCTGTTTAGCTGTGGAAAGAAATGTTTAGACCTCAGAAAAGGTAACTCAGAGACCCTGTGAATTACCCAAAGCTCTCACCTCATACCCCACCTGCACTGCCTTGTCTGACTCCCTCTCCTGGTTCACCGTGGCTGATCTCTGTCCAGGAGTCTTGGCGTGTCTTCTACTTGACACAAAAACCTGCCAGTGCTGGACTTGGGAAATGTGGATTTAATTTCATTTCTTCCCTTACTTTGGTGTGTGACATGAGCGGTGTAGTTTTTCCTTTCTGGGCCTCACCTTCCCCATCCATAAGACAGGTGCGGGTATTGGACCACAGGCTCTCTCGGCTACTCTTCGGTGATCCTCTGAGATGCCAAGTAGCCGTTGAAGTCCCATCAAATGCCAACATTGTGTCAGGTTATATGATGGCTACAAGAGATAGGGATATGATCTGTATTTCCTGGCTTTTTTCTCCAGGCCTCTCTGTCTATATAAATCAGCAATTCTTTCCCTGACCACCTTAGACCTCCTATACTCTTTCCTCTCTGCCCATTTACCTGGGCTCTAAAGACCATCAGGGACTATTCATTCAACAAATATTCA